AAAGAAAGAAAGAAGAAAAGAAAAAGGAAAAGGCACTAAAAATCATTGCCATGATTCAGTGTTCCCAGGCCTCAGGCCATCCACTCGCCGACCCCCACCAGTCCTTGGGTTCCCCTCTGTAGTTTGACCTGTGCAGCACATTCCAGAAGTTTCCAGGGAGGTTGTGGGGCAGCTAGAGAACAAAATCATGAAAACTGACTCCCTGTCTTCCATCCAGGGCTTTCATAGTAATGGTCCCCAAAACTCTGTAATAAGAAGCGGCAAATGCAGCCCGTTTTACAATAGGTAAACTGAGGCACCAAGCGGTAGATGGTAGGTTGGTACTTCTGGTTCCCAGTGCCCAGGAATGGTTCACTCCCAAGAGATTCAGCAAAGAAAGACTGAAGAGAAGGTGTAGGAACGTTCTGAATGTTTCAGGAGAGTAGTGGAAACCTCTCCTTGGAAAGGCTAATACTGGGGTATCCCTGGGCTGGATGAGTTAGGATAAGGCCCCAGAACCCATATCTGTGAGTTGTATGGGGCTGTCTGAAGCTGTAGCCGCCAGGGATAGAGCCAGCTGAGGAGTGGGGGTTGGGTTGGACAAGGCAGTTTAGTAGACTCAGATTCTTGCTTCAGAGAGCCTTGGCCTGGCCTGCAGGTCCCTGGAGTCTAGGCTGGACCTGGGAGCTTGAGTTGTCAGTGGCCAGGACCCCACCACGGTGCCCATGCCAGTCTTGAGCAGCAGGGAGGACTCAGCTGTCCCCAGATCTAGGTGCCTCTGTCCATCCTGGTCATCTCCTGAAGAATAAATGCTGAGCCTCACAAGCCCCATCATTCATTCTTTCTCAATTCACAGTGCCCCTCTTTGTTCCTGGGATGGTGCTAGGTCCTGAGGGCACAGCGTAGCTGAGTGCAAAGAAATCTAGGATGCTTAGAAAGCCTACAGGAGGGGCCGCTCTCAGTGGCTTACGCCTGTAACCCCAACACTTTGGGAGGCCGAGGTAGGTGGATTACCTGAGGTCAGGAGTTCGAGACCAGCCTGACCAATATGGTAAAACCTCGTCTCTACTAAAAATACAAAAATTAGCTGGGTATGGTGGCGTGTACCTGTAGTCCCAGCTACTAAAGAGGTTGAGACAGGAGAATTGCTTGAACCCAGGAAGCGGAGGTTGCAATGAGCTGAGATTGCACCAGTGCACTCCAGCACTGGGCGACAAAGCGAGACTCCATCACGGAAAAAAAAAAAAGTGAGAGAGAACATAGAGTAGGGGTGGCTGGCCCTGTGGTGGGTGGGACATAGAGGAAACTTCCCAGAGAAAGTGACAGTTAACCCTGCACCTCAGGTGTGACAGCGGGGTCAGTGGGATGTGACCCATGCTGGGGAGTCAGAGGGGAGCAGGTGGCGACTCCCATTTCCATGCCCTCACCTGCCACCCACAACTCACCTCAGCAATGTCTTCTCCCTCCTTGGTTTTCAGCTGGGAAGATCAGCCTGCTCTGTGGAGGGCTGAGAGCACAGCGCTCTTCCTCCTGGTGGCCTCTGACCCCAACAGCCTGTGGCATCCTCCCCGGTCCCGTCTGCCCATCCATCCCTCTGTGCCATTTCTCCTCTGCTCCCAGCATGGTCAGGGGCACCTTGGTTTCTGATTTCTTTTATTATTATTATTAATGATTGTATTTCTGTCCTTCACTTTTTTCCTCCTTAGTTCCTGAAAGTAAACAAAACAAACAAACATACAAAAAACGCTTTGGTCCTGGTAGCTTTCTCAACCCCAGCCCTGACCCTGTTGTTTCGCAGCTGACGGCTGAGATGAGGTTAGAATGATCTGCCCCAGCTGAGCATTCCAAATTGGATTTCACCATCTGCTGAGAAAATTTAAGGAAGGCAAAGCTTGCCAGGTGACAGAAGTTCCCAGGCTCAGCTTTTTAAGGGCCTCAGCCTGTGCCTGTGTCCAGCTCAGTCCTGGCGGACAGGGGAGAACCGGCGGGTGGGAAGAAGCCCCCCACTCCTGACCACTCTCCATCAGCAGTCTCCCCTCCATGGCGGCCTTTGTTGAGAAGGGTGCAGTTTCTCCTTTCCTGGGCACCTGTGATGTGTCACATGCTGCCTGCTGGGAAGTTAGGTGGGGGTTGCCCTGGCGAGTGGAGCATGAGCTGGGGGTTGCTTCTGGGAGAAGCTTTGAGAGCCTGGGTGCAGGCTGCCACATAGAAGCGGCTCTCCAGTGGAAGCCCTCTTCTGCCAGCCCGGGGTCCTAAGCAATAAGCAGAATTCCCCACTCCCACCCCACCACCCCCCACGGATATGTAGTGAGCAAGAAATAAACCTATGTTGTTTAAGCCGCTGTGATTTGGGGGTTGTTTCTTCCTGCACCGTGATCTAGCTTTACCCGAGCGATACAGCCTCTGAGACGCCCCAACTCCAGGCTGGGCCATTGCTCTGGATTCGCAAGGCCCCCCACAACCATTTCCACCAGAGGATTAGGGGTGGTTTTACACACCTGGCAATTGTGAGTCTGAATGCCAGAACAAGTCCTTAGCCCACTTTCAAATCCTATAAAACCTGGTAGTGTTCTGTCTTTAATTCGGCTACGAGTTATAATCACACCTGTAGATCCCTCACCGGGGCCTGCTTGCTAGAGTGTCGCTCCGTGTCTTTAAACATATGGAATCTCAGCTGGGCGCGGTGGCTCAGGCCTGTAATTCCAGCACTTTGGGAGGCCGAGGCAGGTGGATCACGAGGTCAGGAGATCAAGACCATCCTGGCCAACACGGTGAAACCCCATCTCTACTAAAAATACAAGAAATTAGCCAAGCGTGGTGGCATGCGCCTGTAGTCCCAGCTACTCCGGAAGCCAAGGCAGGAGAATCCCTTGAACCCGGGAGGCAGAGGTTGCAGCAAGCCGAGATCGCGCCACTGCACTCCAGCCTGGGCGACAGAGCAAGACTCCATCTAAAAAAAAAAAAAAAATATATATATATATATATATATATATATGGAGTCTCTACTACAGAGTGAATTTCAACGGCCACAGCTTAGCATCTCCCATGTGCCAGGCACGGTGTCACCTCCGGGACTTGCATCTGTCAGCCACAAATAACTCCCAGGATGAGATCGGGCTGGGAGGGACTTGCATGTGAACAACCACCATGAAGAACGTGAGAGAATGAAAGAAATACTATGATCGTCATGTCCTGGGTCAAGCGCATCTGCAAACCAGGGACTTGGGATCACAGGACCTACCTACAGGACTGTCAGCCAACATGGGTGGAGGTGTGGGTTGCTAATGATCAACCCTGCTCCTCAGATCCCCTCTCTCCTAGGAATGACCTGCGACTGCCCTTGGTCCTCATCAGATCCTGCTCTCCTGTCTCTCCATGTACATCATAATAGCCTAGAGGCTACAGATATCTCTGTGGAGCCACAGGATGCTACAGCGATGCCACAGACAGTCCCAGCGCACAGGCAATGCTCCCTGATTGGACACTGCTGAGGAGCTTTGCTCCCACAGGGGAGGCGAACACTCAGATACCCCGAGACCACCTTCACTCTGTCCCTCCAGAATGCAGGGGAGGAAGGGCTGCCCCACCTTCACTTAGTCCCCCTGCTGGCCTGTCATGAAAATGCCAAAGCAGCTTCAAATATTTCAGGTTTGTTGTTGTTGTCTTGCCCAGGCTGGAGTGCAGCGGCACGATCTTGGCTCACTGCAAACACTGCCTCCTGGGTTCAAGTGATTCTCCTGCCTCAGCTTCCCGAGTAGCTGAGATTACAGGTGCTCGCCACCACGTGTACTGATTTTTGTATTTTTTGTAGAGACAGGGTTTTGCCATGTTGGCCAGGCTGGTCTCGAACTTCCGATCTCAGGTGATCCACCAGTCTCAGTCTCCCAAAGTGCTGGGGTTACAGGCATGAGCCAGAAGTGAAACTTAGGAGGGGGCAGGAGGGAGGGAGGCCTGTATAGTGCAGCGTGGTAACAAGGGCTGAGGCTCTCGAAGAAGCTTCAGGAAGGAGGTAACATCTGAGTTGGACTTCAGGAGAGGTGAGGGTTTGCAGCAGGCTCGGTGGAGAATGAGAGGTGCCACGTCAGCGTCCGCAGCGGAGGGATAGGGAGAGCAAAGGCAGAGAGGACGTGGAGGCTGGTGGGCCAGGTGAGCAGCAGGAAGGGAGGTGGCAGGGAATGGGGCTGGCAGGTGAGCTGGGAAAGTGAGTGACATCATGAGGTGACATTATGAGGCCCCATCTATGCCCTGGTAAGCAGCTTGGCTGTAGTCAGAGGGAAAGCTTGTGAACAGGGAAGTGGCTGGTGTTGGGCCATACTTTAAAGGGCAAATCTGATTTACTATCTACACATTACACTATCTTTGAGCTTCAAGCGATATGTGTTGTCTGGGCCTAGGAGAGCCCCAGGTACCAGTGCTCACCTGGAAGGTGGAGGTGAACTCAAGACACCCAAGAAGAGGTGCCTTGGGGATCCACACTGGTGGAGAGGGCGTCACCCTTAGCAGCTCCCTTCCATGCTGAACAGAGCTGAGCTCTTTCTTCCCCAAGGCTCTGCCCTCTGGCTGGCATACCCTGCCCATCTTTTGTGTGGCTGGCTCCTTCTCCTTTCTAGGGCTCAGCACTGATGTCTCCCCTCACAAAGACCTTCCCTGGCCCCTGTCACTGCTCCATGTCATTCTCTCTCGGTCCAACAAACCACAGATCAGGGCAGTGCCAGTCCCAGATGCAGCGAGGCTCTGGACACCTTCGTGTGAGCTGAGGGCCAGAACCTTTTTCTTTCCCCTGGCAGGCCACATTTGTGATGAAATATATGAATGCAAGCCCCTTTGAAGCTGAACCCAAGGTTGGCTTCCCTACACCCACACCTCCAGGGCTCCACACCCCTTTTTAATTGCAAATCCAGGATTTGGAATAGGATATTCAGCGGGGAAACCACTGCATGAGGCCCATCCTGATTAAGAAGGATAATCTGCTTTACTCAATCTCCAAAGTCAGGTGTTGGTATTATCCAGATACACCCTCACAGAAACATCTAGAAGAATGTCCAACTATCTGGGCGCTCCATAGCCCAGTCGAGTTGAGACATGAAATTAACCATCACAAGTCTACCTGGCGTCTGTGCACAGCTCCTTAAACTTTTAATGCAATTGACTGGTGTCCTTACAAAAAGAGCAAATTGGACATGCAGGGAGACCCCAGGGGCACAGGCACACAGAGGGGTGGCCATGTGAAGGGGCAGCAAGAGAAAGGAGAACGGCCATCTGTGAGCCAAGGGGAGCGGCTAAGGAAGAACCTCGCCCTGTGGACACTTTGGTCTTGGACTTCCAGCCTCCAGAACTGTGAGAGAATGGATTTCTGTTGTGGAAGATGCCCATTCTGTGAGCTTATGTTCCAGCATCCCTAGGAACACACTGCCCTTTCAATCACAAACAGGCAGAGCCCCCACAGAGGATTTCCTTGCTCTTCCCTTTCCTCTGGGCTGCTTTGTGTATGTAGTTGGTGGCCTCTCCCTCACCTCCAGTGTTTGCATTTCTTATTCCTCCACATTCCTGAAAATCAGTAGATCGGCCTGCTTGTATTTTTCCTGGGAGACTGGGAAGATAGGGCTCCATGAGCTTGGGGAGTCTTCACTAACCACCATGTCAGTGGGAGAATCTAGAAATCTCTGTTCTCAAGTCAAGTCCACCAGCCTAGAAAGTGTCTGTGTGAATTTGTGAATGGCGCCCTCGCCTGACTCAGGGAGTGGGCCTTAGGGGAAGGTGGCCTTGGCAAGTATAGCCATGGTGGACTTCAGCTTTCCTGGCCCGCAGCCCTGTGCATACATGCCATCACCATCACGCTGCACATCTGCGCTGGGCCCCTTCATCTGCCCCGTGTGGCCCATCATGGTTTCATGTTCTCCTTCACCACATACTACAGAGGAAAGAAGGATGGAGTGTCCTGAGAAGCAATGCCTGGCTCAGGCAAAATACGGTGAGACAGCAAGAGCAGGCTGTGTTTATGTGCACACGTGTCTATGATATTTACATCCTCTAATCACAGTTATTCCATCACACAGACATTCTTCAGGAGGAAGCTGGGAAAGGGAGTGACCATTTCTCTGTGTCCACTGGCTTCTTGGATCAAGTTCAGAAAGTGAACAGCCACGCAAAAGACGGGCAGGGCATGCCAGCCAGAGGGCAGAGGCTTGGGGAAGAGCCTGGCTCTATTCAACATGGAAGGGAAGCTGCTGAGGGTGACGCCCTCTCCAGCAGTGTGGCAGAGCCTTGGGAAAGGCACTATGAAGCTGCCATTTATTCCTTCTTCCGTTTTGTTTTGTTTTTTTTTTTCTATTTTTCTCTATACTGCTCAGCCAGATGAAGCTGCCATTTAAAACCATCTTTTAATCAATGGTGGCCTTGGATTTGTTTTGTAGAGATTTTTTTCCCAAGGTTTTCCTAAAAGGAGGCACGTTCTTTTGAAACACGGTACTGTGCAGGGGCAGGGCCACCTCTGGCTCTGGTCGTGGGGCTCGGTGGGGACGGGCCATGCTCTTGTGGCTTGCCATGCCTCAGGCTGCCTCTGCAAGGGCCTGACCTCCAGGAAGGCACAATGGCAGAAGCCACTGCATGTCCACGGAGCTGAGCTCCACCACAGAAAGCAAACCAGAGACACTACCCTAGAGCTTATGATCTGGCCAGTAGGAATCAGACAATGAATTAATTACAATTC